AAGGTGGGGGGTGTGGGAGTGAGGAAAGGAAAGGTGTATTAGAATTATCTAGGAGCTTCGGCAAACTCTGGGTTTCTCTCCAATGCCTAAGTTGTTGGCACACCCTTTAGAGGAGTGACTGAGACTCACTGCCACACATGCTCACATGGATATGCTAGAATGTTCTTATAGACATGAGCACACTACATTTCCTGCTATAGCTTCTGGAGTCACAAGGAGCTTCTCTCTTATCCCTTTCAGGACCAAATTTTACCAAAATGGTAGTCTGCATTGGCTGCCTGAGTTTCCTCCCCTCCCATGCATTCCTATAATTCTACCTAATTGTGCCCTACAATAGCCTCTCAAGAGGAGATCTCACTACTTGGCTGCATTTATATAATCACCTGAAGGGCTTTAGAAACTGATGCCTGGGTTCCACCCACAGAAGTTCTGATTTAATTTTTCTGGGCTATGGTCAGTGCACCAGGATTTTTTAAGACTCTAGGAGATTATCATGTCCAACTAGGGCAGAGAACCAGCATATTGCTAAACAGCTGTCATAAATGGCCTCTCAATCAATAAAGACAATGCCTTAGGCAGAAATGGGGGGGAGGGAAAGTCATCATATAGGAGAAAAATTTCTATTCTAATAATTCCATAATGTTGGGAGAAGAGAAGAGCAGCAAAATCAGTATGTAGAAAATGAGCTCTAGGAATACCAAACTGTGGCTAAAGTGTGAAAATTTTAATGGAAAAGAAACTGGATGAGAAAGTGTATGTTAGGGAAATACAAGAAAAGAGGAGAAATAGCTGTATGCAACGTTTGCCAACATATAAATTCCCCTCTGCTGCAGAATAATCTGATTTGGTCTATATACTAGAATGTAAGGCCACTTACTAAACTCTAAGGAAATTACTTTAAGGAATTTTAGCATCTCAAAATGTATATTTTTGGAGAGATGGTATGCATGTATAAGAAAACCTAAACTAACAGAATTTATCATTCTTCTATGAAGTTTCACCAAAAACAAAAGTGATAATTCTAATTTTTAAAAAAAGGATCAATTCATATTATGTGTTCATGAGCAACACAAGTCTTCAAAAAGCATTACTAACATATACTCAATGGAATATTACTCAGCTTTAAAAACGAGTGAAATTATGGCATTTGCCAGTAAATGGGTGTAGTTGGATAATATGATGCTAAAAGAAATAAGCCAATCCCAAAAAACCAAAGGCCAAATGTTTCCTCTAATATGCGGATGCTAATTCACAATAAAGAGGGGGTCACTAGAGAAGAATAATGTTAGATTAGGTAGAGAAATGAAGGGAGGGGAGAGAAGGGGAGGAGAGGGGATGTGAGAATAGGAAAGATAGAATAAAATAGACATTATCACTGTATGTATATATGTGACTGCATGATCAGTATGATTCTACAACATGTACACTCAGAAAAATGAGAAATTATAACCCATCTAACGTATGATATATCAAAGTGCATAAATGTATTCTACTGTCATGTATAACTAACTAAAATAAATTTTAAAAATTCAAAAAGCATGACTAACATTAAATACATTAGCAAAGTGGATTTTTGGAACCAAAGTAACACTGAGAATATTGTTACAAATAGGTAGCTCCTAGTGAGCACATACAAGGTGAATGTTAAGCATGTGACATTCATTAACTCATTAATGATAAGTTAATGTACCCATGAGAATGAAGAATCTCCATTACACCCATTTTAGAGATGAGGAAACTGAAGTTCAGAGACGCAAAGGTACAGACCAAACTATGCAGTTTTCATGAGGCAGAACAACAATTGAAATATGTATTCTACTCCATTTTTATAAATTGATCCATCAAAATTAGTTTAAATTTAAAAACACACTCAAGGCAATATTTTTTTTTTTTTTTTAAAGTCACTCAACCAATTTTCAAAGATCATTTTGGGAAACTGCAGGACAGAAAGAACAGAGAAGGCTAAAGCAAGTTTAACCTAAGGTGTAAAATGCAGAGCCAGTCACTCTGGAGTTTCTCCATAAATGATGATGATGTAGGAATCATAACTTCATGCTATTCTTGATGCATAAGATTTTTGGAACTTTGAAGTTCCTCCTTGGTGAATATGTTTCCCAAACATTCTGCTTTTTATTTATACACAACCACAGTCACAAAGCCAATGTCTCCTGTAACTAAAGATTTATAAGTAAATATCAAATTCTAATGAATCTTCTTGAGTTCAGAAAACACACATCTCAGGCTGGCTTCCATGGATTTGAAAATGGTACCTTTATGGTAGACAAAGGAGACATAATAGCACTCTTCTCTGTAAGTGCCTATATTTTAATTGCTAAATAGTATACAAACATAGACATATATGCTTTACATATACAGTGAAGATCCAAACGGGAGCATCTCTTTTTTTCTTAATGAGTGCTCCTTGAAGGCGAGTACCTTATTCTATTCATCATTATTTCTCTTCTGCTCAGCGCATGAAGTAGACTCCACATAAATATGTGCTGAGCTTATTTAATGATACATATTAACTAAAATACTACAATACACGAGGGAAGTGAGAAAACACATTTGATTTGATTATGGTATTTTTCCTAATGGAACTTGCAGTGTAATTGTTTACATTTTACAAAATATAATTGGGAGTACAGAATAACAGGAAATCAGGAAAGGGGCATTTTTCTCTGAGCCGGGTACACATCTCCACACAGGCTCTAGGAAGCTCCTAACAAGAATGACAGGAGTTGCATGTGATGTAAAGCTTTCTGCTTTAGATAACCTACATTATTTAATTCATGATTGCTTAAACTATCATCACTTTCATAATATAAATTTATCTAGTGGCAATAGACTTTATCCTGAGTGTACTGGCTTTCTTGGTATTCTTAGTTGAATAATTACCAATTTAGTACTTTTTTGGGAAGCCACAGAGGAGATAAAATATCTCGTTTTGGTGAGATTTTTGAAGGTTTACTCAATGGTCAAAATTAAAATTTTTAAAGAATATATTATATTTCTATTTACATATCAAAAACTGATCATTGTCCCATACGTATAAATTTTTTTACAAAATATTTGTTTATGTACATTTTAAAGTAAGGAGCTGGAAGGAAACTATATAAGGATACATTTTCTACTAGTGACTGGAATTAACCAAACTAAAATCTAAAAACATAAATAGCCCATCCAACTAGGTAGAAATTTTTTTTCTCTTATTTATAATAATTTTATAAACCTACATTTATGTTTTTTAATTCTTAAAAAAGTATGTTCACTTTGATAACACACAGATTTCCGTTTGCTCATTGGAGGCTAAAGTGAAATGTTCATATTCAGTACATTTTCAACTTAGCTGTATTACATGATAACATTTATGTAATGCTTCTTTTTTCACTGAAGATTTATAAACAGACAAAAACATTCGGTTGATAAACCAACCTTGAAAAAGAACTGAGCTCAGTTTTGTCTATTAATATTTAAAAGAAGCTACTTGTAGTTACTTTTAATCAAAGTGAAAATTATTTTCTTTTTTCATTCTCCAAATTATCTTGCCAAGTTATCAAACAATAAATAAAAAATGTAAAGAACAATGTGAAATCATCTTAATGTAATCAAGCACTATAAAGCATCTTGATAGGAAACTGACAACTTCTATACCCAAACACACACACATCTGAAGTTGTATTCACTTGCCTTACGCAGTACAACCTGGATGCAGAAGAAAAAATCAAGGTAAATCCATGTATTCTTTTCCGTGTCAAAAACTAAACAAACATAGCTTTTTCCATGAAGACTGAGTGAAAGTAGACTTATCTGGTTAGCAGGTCATGTTATTGCTCCCTAACCTGAAAAGAGAATGTGGCAATTTTCCTGAATCCCCCACGGAGACCTGGGGAGCTTACTTTCTGTATGCTTCCCTTACAACACACACACCACACACACATACACACACACACACACACACACACATAACCTGTATATACGTATCCATTCTGTATACAGCAATAATTGTACTGTATGTCAGTCTCCCAATTAGCCTTTGACCTTCTTGAGGTCAGGGCCATATCTTTTTACCCAATTATCCTTATATCTGTACATCTGAATGACAAACCAAACAAGGTTTTACTCTAATTTTAGGTGCTACAAACTGATCCTTATAGAGAAAAGCTTCAATGGGAAGGGAGTAACAAGTAATGAGCCTGTGGATTATTCCCCACTCAACTGTTGGGCTTTTACAGCATCTCTGGACTATGCAACTGCACAGCTTGATATGGGAGTTGAAGAAAGTTAAGGGAAAGCAGGAGAGACAACCAAAATCTAGGCTGTTGAATGAAAAGAAGCAGTGAGCAAAGAACCACTGGTCTAGAGGTGGATACACTAGGCTTTACGTTTGGAAAGAACTACATCCTGGACCCACTGTGCTGAGGGAGAAGAGAGCTGGCTTTTCTCCTCCAAGAGCTCAGACTATTGCAATCTGCTAAACAAAAGAGAAAGGAGATGTGACAGGCAGAGTAGCTGCCCTGGGAATGTCCATGTCCTAGCTGTGTGAAACTGTGAATATGTTGCTTTACATGGAAAAAAGGATTTTTCAGGAGTGATTAAGACCAAGGACCTTGAGATGGTAATAGTAGTGTGGATTATGCAACTGGGCTCAATCTGATCATAAATCCTTAAAACTGGAGCAGGAGATGTGACAATGGCCAAAACCAGAAAGATGCAAAGTTGTTTTTTTGTTTTTTTAAAAAAAAGATGGGGGAAGAGTCATGAACTAAGAAATTGTGGGCAGCCTCTAAAAGCTAGAAAGGGCAAGGAAATGGGTGATCTCCAAAGAATCTTGCAGAAAGAAGTGTAGCATCTTAGTTTTAGCCCAGTGAAAGGTATATCAGGCTCCAGTGTTACAAAACTGTAAAATAATTACTTTTTGTGTTGTTCTAAACTACTAGATTTGTGGCAATTTATTCCAGCAGTAACAAAACCTAACCACAACGATCTTCAAATTCTAGGTCAAGACTGCCCCTTGAGGATGGAGGAGAGAAACTGCAGGGGCCCTGAGTGCCAGAAGCACATCAGAGAAAAAAGCCACCTCTGAGCCAGACTGCTCAACAAAGGGAGAGAGGAACTGAAACGAAAATTTTTAAAGAATTAGAGTGAGCCCAATGAGAATACCTAATGGACAGTCTGATCCGGTCAATCTTTTTCATCTTTTGAGACATGCTGCTCTAATTCTAAACCCCACTCCAAGACTCTGTTTTGAGAAGCCTGATTTGAGCCAATTTAGAATGTCTAAAAACAATCAGAATAAAAGCCACACTGTCAGGTGCTCTTCAATGGTTTCTGCCCTCCCCGGCAATCCAAGGCAGGCAGCCTGTGCGTGGAACAGGAGGCAGTCCCCAAAGCCCTGTAACATGACCCATGCCAGCTAGCCACTGAGAGATTACAAAGAATGAGGTCAGTTCCTTCTCATTCCTTCTAGCATTTCTAAGGAAAGCAAACAGGAATCACAAGACAAAAGGCAGTGTCATGAGGCACTTTAAGCACTCAATGTGGGAGGTAGCTTGATTTCATATTTTCCTCCATTAATTAATTGCAAAGTTAAAGTATGGATATCATGAACACATTAGCTCATATCATCCATCAAATAGTCATTTGATACAATTGTGGTTGCTGGGAAGGAGAGTTCTGATAAAAAGGAGTATATATATTTTTTATTCTCATAAAGAATTTTAAAAGTCCATGTAAAAGAAAAAAAACTGACAAAAATGAAGAAAAATCCAGTTTGTATTTGAGTTTCACTGAATATTTTTTCACCTAATGAAACAAACAGAATTACTTTTTATATACAAACTAAATCATGATTTAAAAAAATCCAAAATAATCAGAGAATGTAAGTATAGCTTAAATTCTTAAGGTGACTGGACTGACAATTAAAAAATAATTCATTGAGATTTGTAAATTTTTTAACATCTGTTTCATGATTCAACTGTCAAACTAAATTAGCCTAAACTCAAGACTGTGCTACCTACCAAAATTTACCAGTTATTTTCGGTTTTGGAATCTTGAAATAATTGCACATGAATGGAACCTTCCAAGTCAACCCAGTACAACCACTTGCCTGAGGCGAGAGATATCCCTGGCAAATACTTTTACTTTTTAAAATGCTCTAACTAAGGGTTGCAATGTAGCTAAGTAGAAGAGGGCTTGCCTAGCATGTACAAGGTGATAAGATTAGTCTGTAGATCACTTTTCTTTATAGGATGTTCTACAGACCAGTTTATTCTCTAACTTATAGTACACATAAGAATAAAAGAAAATGAAGTGGCACTTTATTCTGTGCTAACTATGCTAGTTATTGTGGTATTTATTTAGATAACTTATTCTTTACATCATTCCAGTGAATGACTAAGAACCTCATTCTATAGAAAAAAATACACAATAAGCTAAAATATAGGATACCAGTCGGGCGCTGTAGTGCACACCTGCAATCCCAACAGCTCAGGAGGCTGAGACAGGAGGATCACAAGTTCAAGGCCAGCCTCAGCAATTTATCGAACACCCTGTCTTAATATAAAAAAATACAAAAAGAGCTGGGACTATGGCTTAGTGGTTAAGCACCCTAGATTCAATCCATGGTACCCACCCCCTCAAAAATTAAGAAATATAAAATATAGGATATCACTATTTATACTCCAACTAAAACTACTAAAATTCTTTGTTATAAATATATATTTCAAAGATATAGTTTAAAAAATCAAAAATGACACTACTAGAAAGTATGAGACAAAAATAGTAGACAAAGTGCATTCTGAATAACCCCCACTATTCAAATCAATGTCAATAGTCCATACTTTAAAAAGTAGAAAAATAGTTTTTTTAATAAAGAAATATTTTAAAGCAAATAATAACAAATATATAATATAGATTTCATTTTGGCAAAGTTATGAAAATTGTCTGTGTGTGTGTATATATATATAATATATATATATCATATATATATCATATATATATATATATATATATAATATATATATATATATATATATATATATATATATATACCAAGCAAAATTAGTAAACAAAAAAAGTACCTATAGGTTTTTCACATTTAATCTAAATAGTACTGTTTAGCATTATATGTATAAGATTAAACAGTATAATGTAATGATCTGAGATGATATCAATCTGATATATGTATTAGAAAACATGTTTGAATGTACTTTATGTTAAAATGAATGTTTAGTGACATCTTGCTCTATTATCATTGAGGCTTAAAGTGGTAACTAAGCAAAGTGAACAACAGAAGAATGTTTAAGCAACTCTCATGATGAAAAACTTACAGCCATTAAATAACATTCGTGAACAAAATTGAGATATGAGACAATATTCATGGTATATTAAGTTGTAAATAGCAGGCGGGGCACACTGGCACACACCTGAAATGCCAGCAGCTTAAGGAGGCTGAGGCAGGAGGATCATGAGTTCAAAGCCAGCCTTAGCAAAAGCAAGGCACTAAGCAACTCAGTGAGACCCTGTCTCTAAAATACAAAAGTAGGGCTAGGGATGTGGCTTGGTGGTTGAGTCCCCCCAAGTTCAATCCCTGGTACTCCCCAACACACACACAAAAAAAAGTTGTAAAAAGCAGGAAACAAAACACACATAATCACACAAAGCATAATCCCAAATTCATAAAAATAAAACAATACAAATAAGCACTTAAGTAGAAGGAAATAGCATTGCTTTGTTAACATTCAGCATAGGCATTTCTGGTGATACAATTTGCTGCTCTTATTTTAATAATTAATTTGTATATTAGTTTTATTATTATACTGTCATATTTTTTTCTGTCATTTTTTTTAATATTTAGTTTTTAGTTGTAGTTGGACACAGTATCTTTATTTTATTTATTTATTTTCATGTGGTGCTGAGGATGGAACCCAGAGCCTCGCACGTGCTAGACAAGTGCTCTGCCACTGAGCCACAACCCCAGCCCTAGACTGTCAAAGTTTTTAACGGTATTTCTAAATTTGAAATTGTATTCACTGTGTCAAATAATCCAAATACATATAGATACAACTTCTTAATGGGATTTCTAAAGCTTCAGTAATTTTTTTCTCTTTATATGGTTTATATACCAGGTTTAAAAAATACTCTTTTTCATTATGAAATGTGTACTTCATATTCTATTGAAAAGAATGAGACAATGAGACCTAACAAGTCAGTCTAGACATTTACATCACATTCTATAAAACATAAAATATGTTTAATGTGAATACAAATAGTTGGCAAATTTTCTAAAATATTTAAATAAATTTTGTAATTCTATTAACTTTTCAGTAATGATCTTGATATTTTCAACTAGAAGATTTTTATAAACAATTAATGGACACATCTGAAGACTTTTTTAAGTTTACTGAAAATTTAAGAAAGACTCTTTAATGGGGGATGTGTGCCAAAAAATATAATAGAAAATCATCGACACTATATATATCATTGGATATGGACAGAAGGGATTGAGCAGCTTAAAATTGGGTAAGTCCAAACTTACAATATGAAGAAAAAGAAAATAATGTAGACCACTTATTACATTCCTATTATTTGGCAATGTATTGGGCACTTTTCATACTCCGTCTTATTGAATTGTTTTATGTTAGGTGGGATCATCTCCATTTTACAGATAAGGAAATTGAGATGTAGACAAAAATAACTCATAAAAACACTGCTATTAAGTAGTGGTTTCTAACCCTGGTCATTTTGATTAAATAAAGCCATTTTTTCCAATGTTGTTATGTCTTGTGGGGAAGAAGAGTTTGAGGTGAAGACTAGTTGAAAGACTAAGGAGCAAATCTCAGACAAAGCTGCAGTTATATAAATGACAAGCTAGAAGACTAAAGCTTGATCCGCTTCAAGTATAGAAAAGTGGTTTCAGTGATCCCCTTGGGCTGGAGCTTAGCCTGATGAATACTCTCAAAATTGAGGAATGGATTGAAGTTTACTGGCGCACCAATTACTTGCTAACAATTAGCAGTTAGCCTAAAGCCAGTGCCCAGGACAATCAAGTGGACATGAAGCCACTCCCAAGAGGAAGTTAGGGTCAGGATGAAGGGGAAGAGAGCACTTGGAGCTGATGTCATCCCTTAGCCCTGTGACTCCATGGAAAGAGCTAGACGTCCACATTTCAGCATATTGTCTCATTGCGTGGCTTATCTGTTTCCACAAGTTTCTGTATCATCTGCTGTTAATGAAATTAAATTCTTTATCTGTGTTTGATGATGTCTTTCTATTAATACATATCCTGTTGCAAAGGTATTAAATACTTATTCCTATAAATGGCTGGATTATCTATTTACTATGCTTACTTATCTGCATTCATCAAGTCTTAAGAGAATATTCTACATTCTTTATGAACCTTCTGAATCTTTTTTTAATTAACTCAGACACCCTATATTTATGTTTGGACTGTGCAGTTTACATATCCCATGGCACTGTATCTCAGTTGTCATGTGGTTCATTGAAAAATGTCTCTCCCCATTCAACTGACCTTTTTTGACCTTATAGTTCTTTAAGACCCAGAGTATACCAGATGTTGAGACTCCTTAAAGAAATCTGCTATTCATGTTTTTTTTTTAACACTTAAGGCACATATTGTTTGAACACTTATAATTTAACATGGAATTAAATACCTAATGTCAAAAGGTAACACAGGATGAAAGCATTTTCATAAACACAACAATGGTGCAAAGAAATAAAAACAATAATATTTACTAAGCACTGTATGCCAGGTATTCTACTAGCTTTACATGTGTTAATTCACTTAATCTTTACAATAATATTATACACAAAGTACTATTACTTTTCAATTTTCTAGATGAGAAAACTGAAGCAAAGGAAGATTAAATATCTACCCAGGGTCACACATCTTTTGAAATCAGGCAAATCAGCTCTAGAGTCATTGTTCTTCATGACTTACCAGTCAAAGTGCCCTCTGCATTGATGATTATTATATCCCTCTTTATTTAATCCCTGACAGCAGTTCAATATGATAAGAGGAACAAATAAGGTAGATAAGTCAAGTTGAACCAACTTGACTTGGGTGTCATGCCTCTTCAAGTGACATGCAGAACAAGAGGTATTTTGTCTCAGAAAGGAATGATGCTCATATTTTTATTATCTCCATTTAGCCTGCTCCTTTTGCTTCAATATGTAGCAGAAATTGTCTCTCATCCAGTTCTTCCTTTTTGGGTTATAGGTTATTTGGGTATTTTATTCATTTCTATAACATTTTAGAATCAACTTGTTAAGTTTCAAGAAAAGATCTCCTTGGATTTTAACTCACTCTAGAGAGCAATTAGATAATAACTTTTTATTGTAATGAATCTCCCTATCTATAAGCATAGTCTTTTTAAAAGTCTCTTAAATTGTTTTTAAGTGGTTTTCATTTGTCTTTTCATTTTTCCATAAAAGTCTCAGATGACATTTTAAAGATTATTCTTTGATACTTCTTTATGCTTTAACTACTATAGATATTTTCTAATGTTCTTAAAAATCATATTTTCAGTGTGTATTTAATGTTTATGGCAACACTGTTAAACTCTTTAATATTAATTAAGCTGTATATGGATGAAGTAGGATTTTCTACATAGAAAATCAATTTTTCCCTGTCAATAAATTACTATTTTATTTCCTTTTGCCTAAATGTTCAATTCTTTTTCTTATATTACCATGATGGCTAAGACTTCCAGTACAACAATAAATATAATTAATTACAGTGGGTTTTCAGGTTTCTGATTTTAAAGCTAAGTCTTCTAACATTTTACTATTAAATGTAATTTTTATTTTAGGTTTCTGAGTAAAAATGTTGCTGATTTGCTAAGAATGTCTGTGTGCGTGTGTGGGGGGGGATAATTTCTTTCTTTAAATTTCTGAAATGAGAGGTAGAGAAAATAGACCCAAGGAAATTGAATTAAAATTGTACATAGCATTACTTCATCACATCTTTAATTAACTCCCTTTCCATTCAAAGTTTCACACTATAAAAATGTTGTTACCTTAAAAAGTCATTCAGAATCTTGGATGAAGAAAATTACTACATACTATACTTTCTAAAACACCATAAGGGATTTGCAATATAAAACTTGTATTTTCTGAAACCTCCTAAAATGTACTCAACATTTTCAGACAATAGCTGTCTTTAAAAGAAATGACATCTGTTTATCTTTAAAACCAAGATAAACTTAATCAGTGGTCACATTGTACTGCCAAAGTACAACCAAGCAACTTAATGAACAATGCTACCACTGCAGGGAATTTCGAAGTCATCTATCAAGCCCCCAGAATGATACTTAAGTGGCTTATAAAATAATTATTTTTAAGGGCATGTGAGAAAAACAGTAAATGTCTAGAAGAAGCCTATAAGTAAGGGAAACATGATTTTAAAAGACACACAGGGAGAAAAAGATCTTTAATAGGCAGGATTGTGATTCTGCAATCTGTGTATGGGGTGAAGGTGGGAGTTCATAACCCACTTGAATCAAAGTGTGGAATATGATATGTCAAGAAATTTGTAATGTTTTGAACAACCAACAATAAAAAATTAAAAAAAAAATAGGCAGGATTGAGGTAGAATAGTAAAGGAAGAATATGTGAATCTCAAAGGCATTCACAGATGGTGTAAAACTGCATCCAGTTTT